TATGTAGTATGTAGTAAGTAGTAAGTAGTATGTAGTATGTAGTAAGTGGTAAGTTGTATGTAGTAGTAGTAGTAGTTGTTGTTGTTGTTGTGGTAAAAGTAGTAGTAGTAGTAGTATGTAGTAGTATGTAGTGGTATGTAGTAGTATGTAGTAGTATGTAGTAGAATGTAGTAAGTAGTATGTAGTATGTAGTAGTAAGTAGTAGTAGTAGTAGTAGTAGTAGTAGTAGTAGTAGTAGTAGTTGTTGTTGTTGTTGTTGTTGTTGTTGTTGTGAGTAGTAGTTGTTGTTGTTGGTAGTAGTAGTAGTAGTAGTAGTGATAGTAGTAGTAGTAGTAGTGGTAGTAGTAGTAGTATGTAGTAGTATGTAGTAGTATGTAGTAGTATGTAGTAGTATGTAGCAGTATGTAGTAGAATGTAGTAGAATGTAGTAGAATGTAGTAGTATGTAGTAGTATGTAGTAGTATGTAGTGGTATGTAGTGGTACGCAGAAGTATGTAGCAGTATGTCGTAGTTTGTAATGGTATGTAGTAGTAGCAGTAGTAGTAGTAGTAGCTGTTGAAAGTCCATAACACGGAAGTTTTGCGCCCTAAACTTCCTTTGAATAGCGATGGCCAGTAGTGATGGCCTGCAAGCTAATAGCGATGGCCACAACCTGATAGCGCTGGCCTCCAAGCTAGTAGCGATGCCTCTAAGCTAATAATGATTCGCTAATAGTGACGGCCAATAGTTGGCCTCCAAGCTAGTAGCGATGGCCTCCAACCTATGAGCGATGGCCTCCAAGCTATATCGAATCTAATAGCGATGCCCTCCAACCTAATAGCGAAGCCCTCCAACGGAAACGCGATGGCCTCCAACCTACTAGCGATGGCCTCTAAGCCAGCAACGAGGCCTCCGACTCTAATAGCGATGGCCTCCAACCTATATAATTCGACGGCTTCCAAGCTAATAGCTCTAGTAGCGATGGCCTCCAAGCTTTTGCAGCGATGGCCTCCAAGCTAGTAGCGATGGCCTCTAGCAATGGCTTCCAGCTAATAGTGATAGCCTCAAATCTAATGTAATAGCGATGCCCTCCAGCCTGATAGCAATGGCTTCAAAGCAATAGCGGCGTTGGCCTCGAATCTAATAGGGGTGGCCAATATAAGTGATGGCCTCCAAACTAATAGCGATGGCCAGTGGCCTCCAACCTAAAGCGATGGCCTCAATAGTGATGGCCCGCTGGCCGGTAGCGCTGGCCTCCAAGCTAGTAGCGATGGACTCCATGCAACCTACAGCGATCGGTAGCGATGGCCTCAAACCTAGTAGCGATGGCCTCCAACCTAGTAGCGATGGCCTCGTCGAGTCCAATAGCGATGCCCTCCAACCAAATAGCGATGGCCTCCAACCTACTGGCAATGGCCTCGAATCCAACAGTGATACCCTCCAACCCAATAGCGATGGCTTCCAAGCTAGTATAGGGGTGGCCTCGAATACAATAGGGATGCCCTCCAACCTAATAGCGATGGCTTCCAAGCTAATAGCGATGGCCTCGAATCTAATAGCGATGCCCTCCAACCTAATAGCGATGGGCTTCCAACCTAGAAGCGATGGCCTCCAACCTAATAGGGATGGCTTCCAACCTGGCATGGCCTCCGACCTAATAGCGATGGCTTCCAATCTTATAGCGATGGCCTCGAATCTAATAGCGATGCCCTCCAACCTAATAGCCTGGACCAGCATCTGTATTTTTAAAAGTTTGCGATTTGGTACAAACGCCCATATGCACTATAAACGCCCAGGTCTCCTACCCCCCTTTTTCTCAGAACATCAAAATCAAATCGTCTCCCAAAAACACACCCCTACCACTCCATCACTCCACAAAATGGCAACCGCTCCACATTTTTCCACCACATAGAGACACAGATCTGCACATGTCACGTCTGCACTCAGAGCTTGCCTGACCAACAGCAAAACACAAAAACACAAACAACCCTCCACGCTCTACAGCGCAGCACGCTCATGCATGACAACTCGCGCGTGACAAAAAAACACGCGTGACAACTCACGCATGGCAACCCACCCTGCCTGCCAACCTCTTGGCTGCCAGAACGCCATCAAACTTGTCTTGCAGCCCCATCAAGTAACGTCGCGCCGTGCTCAAACCTGCATTGACCTTGTGTGTTTTTTCGTGACGGCCATAATCTTCTTGAGAAAGTCCCCATCCAACCGTACCAACAAACCCCTGCATAGGGGTTTTTGATGAGTGGCGTTGGACCGTCGCACATAAGGAACACATGATGCAACAGGTGCCACTTCGGTCTCAAATGGAAGACCTTGTAGCTGCATCCAGAACCTTGATGATGAAGAATTAGATAATCAAAAAATTCTCCCACGCGTTTCACTTGCTGACCCTCTGCTTTTGTCAAAAACAGAGGGGAACTGGCCAAAACACCAATCCTGTGCTCTGCCGCCCAAAGCATGGATGCCAAGTGAGGATTGTTACAATCCTTCTGCTGCTCTGCATGCAGCAACCACCACATAGCCAAACTTGCCCGGCGGCCTTTGTCTTTGAAGTGGGCCCATTCATCTCCCTTCATGGAAAGCTTTAGACACGAAGCAAATCTGGAAAGAGAAACGCTGGGGTGAAGGCGTGAAATTGCGCAACGGTTGGTGGAGCTGCCGGGTCCCATGGTAAGCTTTCAACACTGTAGACCACCATGCTGCTTGCGGTGACAAATCTGCAAAGGGCGTTGAACCGCACAAATGACAGAGTTCATTCCTGCCATAGAATCTCTGAAGAAGAGCAATCTGCTTACGCCACTTCCAATCTCCGTTTATCCCGACAACTTCGAAATGCAAATCAGCTGCAGATGTGGCAATCATGACCTGGTGCTTTGAGCTCTGATTGCCACGTCAAAATCATGAAAGACTCTCCCAACGCCTGGCACTCATCACCACAGAGGAGAACAGGCAACGCATCAAGGTGTCTTGGCTTCAACAAATGCTGGAAGGTGTTCCAATAATAGTCTGGGAGTTTGCCCAGGAAATCTGTGTAGCCTTCAACTTGCAGCATGCGAACCTAGGAAAAAACCAATTGAGTCACCTATGCTTGTATCCCACCATTCCAAAACAGAAACTGAGTCAAGGACAAAGTCACTCGGCAAAAGTAGCGGCCAATTTTCCATAGAGATTTCACCGGTGTCTGCATCAGCCAAAGCAACCTGTAGCTGCTGTGTTGGCGCATCTACTGCCAAACCATGTTTGGCCACACGCCGGTGTGTGCGCCTTTCTTCTTCACTTGGCCTGCCAGCCAAACATTTTTTGAATTCCGTTTAAGCTACCCAATTCCAACCTCACAAAAGTCTCAGATCCATATGTTCTCCCAATATCATCCGATGTGGAAAAGGACAAGGCGCCCCTTCCAACAGCAGAAGCAATCCTGCAGAAATGCAATGGAAGAAGCCAGCAGTTCACAGCAATCGCCAGTCCTCTGATCTAATTCACGACGCAGGTTTGCCACTGATATCCTGCCAATGCATCATCTCACAAACTATTGAGAAATGAAAAATGTAAACAATCACAAAGAAGCAAACCGGCCCCTTCCATGGCATGAATGCACGCA